AAATAAAGATTTTGAATTCTTATTATTCCAAGAATAATTTCTGATTATAAATGTCTCATCATGGCTTTCAAAATTTTTCGTTTTGCCCATCATTCTGGGGCGAAAAATAATAATTGAAAAAAAAAACAAAATATTTATATAATTCGCCCCATTCACATGTCTGAATGCCGGTGTCATTGTAGATAAGAATGTTATCAAGAGTGTGACCGACATACACATAATATGTTTGAACGTCAGCATGTTTTTGAAAAAGCTAAGCAAAAATCAAGAATAATAGGAACCGGAGGGTTAAGAGTAGAAAAATTGTCATTGGCTCCAGGGAAAAGTCAGAAGAATTGTTGTTTCTTTTTTAAGTTTTAAAACTAACACAAATATTAAAAAAAAAAATAATTTAGAGATTTATTTTTTTCCAAGACTCATAATGGAATTATTTTCTTCTCTCAAAGACTCTGCCAAAAAATTGGCTTCCAGAGGCTTTTGGGTTCGATTCTGAAATAGCCAGGAAATAAATTCAAAAAATGTAAGAAAAATATATTTTTTATGTTTTGCTAAATTTCCTTTTGTTCCGAGCAATTTTCAGCTTTTATGTGTTCAGGGACTTATACTAAAATTCGATGGAGAATATTATTTTCTTTGACATCAACTTCATAAAATAAAGCCATGAGGAAGATTTTGAGGCCAAATCAAAAGTAGCCAAGACATCTTTTATTTCTTTATAAATTTTTCCATATATTTTTGTTGGTTATTTTCTCGTAGTTCTGAAAATTTTTGACCAATAGTGTTTTCAGGGATCTACCGTAGAATTATATGCAAATATTTTTCTCTTTTATATAATTATCGTAACATTAGAATTTCCGGCCGTTTATGGGTCCGAATCAAAAATACCCAAGAAAATCATAAATTTTTAATTTATTTTCATTTATTTTATTTTAGATTTTCTCATATTTGTATTGAAATTTGAACTTCAGTGTATTCGGGAAACTTTAGTAAAATTTTATGGAAAATATTTTTTTCTTTGACACCATCTGCCCAAAATAGATAATTCTTAGAAATATCGGCTCAAAATCAAAAATTGACGAAAAAACGCAATTTTTTCCAATGTTTTCTTTTCATTTTTTGTTGGTTATTTTCTCACAGTTCTGAAAAGCTGTGACCATTAGTATATTCATAAAACTTTAGTAGAATTTTACGAGGAATATTCTTTTCTCTAGTCAAATTCTACTAACTCAACGTTTTCCGGGAGATTTTGACTCGAAATCAAAATAACCCAAAAATTGCCCTATTAATTGCATAATTTTTTTAATTATTTGAGATTTCCTCGTAGTTCGGTAAAGTTTTGAATTTCAGTGTATTCAGTGACCTACAGCAAAATTTTGTGCGGAATATTTTTTTCTCTAGTCAAATTCTGCTAACTTAAAGTTTCCCGGGAGATTTGGGCTTGAAATCAAAATAACCCATAAATTGCCATATTTTTCATTTTTTTTTATTTTTTTTTTTTCATTTGAGATTTTTATTTTGTTCTGAACGGTTTCGAAATTCCATGTATTCAGTGACCTACAGTAAAATTTTTTGAGGAATATTTTTCTCTCCCGTCAAATTCTGCTAGCTTGAAGATTTAAGGGAGATTTTTGAGAAAATAAAACAAAAAATGCTCTGCATATTTTTTTATTTTTTAAATATTTGATGTTTTTTCGTAGTTCGGTAAAGTTGTGAACTTCAGTGTATTCTGTGACCTGTAGTAAAATTTTATGAGAAATATTTTTCTCTCGAATCAAATTCTGCTAACTTTAAGCTTTTAGCGAGATTTTGGCTCGAAATCAAAATAACCCAGAAAATGCCATATTTTTTCAATTTTTTTTAATATTTTTTAAGTTGGGATTTTCTCGTAGTTCGGTAAAGTTTTGAACTTCAGTGTATTCAGTGACCTGTAGTAAAATTTTGTGGGGAATATTATTTTCTCTATTCAAGTTCTGCTAACTCAAAGTTTTCAGGGAGATTCCGGCTCCAAATCAAAATAACCCAAAAAAATATCCTTTTTTATTTCTGCATAATTTTGTTATTTTTTAATCATTTGAGATTTTCTTATTGTTTTGTACAATTTTTAACTTCAGTGTATTCAGTGACCTCTTGTAAAATTTTGTGGGGAATATTATTAGTCAAATTTTGCTAACTCAAAGCTTTCAGGGAGCTTTAGGCTCAAAATCAAAATAACCCAGGAAATTCCATATTTTTAATTTGTTTTTATTTTTTTTTTTTTTCATTTGAGATTTTCTTGTAGGTCTGTAAAGTTTTGAACTTCAGTGTATTCAGTTCACTGTAGCAAAATTTTGTGGGGAATATTTTTTTCTCCAGACAAATTTTGCTAACTCAAAGTTTTCAGGGAGATTTTAGCTCGAAATCAAAATAACCCAGAAAATCCCATATTTTTCCCATATTTTATTTTATTTTTATTTAAGATTTTCTCGCAGCTTGGTAAAGTTTTGGACTTCAGTGTAGCCAGTAGCCGACAGTAGAATTTGATGAAGAAAATGTTTCTCTTTCACATCCTATCTCTAAATCGCAGTTTTCTGGGAGATTCTGACTCGAAAATCAAAATAGGCCAAATGTAAGCCTTAATTTTTCATATTTTTTCTCTTATTATTTTTTTGGGATCTTTTTTGCCTACTTCTGTATAGTTTTGAACTTGAGTGTACTCAGAACTCGATAATGAAATTCTATGGGGAATATTTTTTTCTCTGGCATAAGTTTTTGGCTAAAATTGAAAAATAGCCAAAAAAAGAAATTAATTTTTTTATTTGAATTTTTCCTAGCCTATAGGGGTAGTTTTTGCCTTCACTGTAGTCGGGGACCTATAGTAGAATTTGATGGAGAATATTTCTTCTCTTAACATCAAGTTTCTAAATCAATGAATTGTGGAGATGAGGGCTCGAATTCAAAATCCGCCAAAATAAAAATTTTCTCTTTTTTTTAATTTTTGAAGTTTTTCGTTTATTTTCCCATAGTTCTGTTAAGATTTGAACTTTGGTGTAGTCGGGGACCTATAGTAGAATTTATTGAAGAATTTTTCTCTCTTTAACATCATGTTTCTAAATCAAAGAATTGCAGGAGATTTGGGCTCGAATTCAAAATCAGCCAAAAAAAAATTTTTTCTCAATTTTTTTAATTCTTAAAGTTTTTTGTTTATTTTCCCATAGTTTTGTTAAGATTTGAACTATATTGTATTCGGAGACCTATAGTGAAATTTTATAGGGTATATTTGTTTCTTTTACTTCATGCTTCTAGCATAAAGTTTAAGGGAGATTTGGAGCCTATTTAAAATATAGCCAATGTTTTTTTCTCAATATTTTTTTTAATTATTAAAGTTTTTAGTTTATTTTCCCATAGTTCTGTTAAGATTTTCCTCTTTAACTTCAAGTTTCTAAATCAAAGAGTTGTAGGAGATTTGAGCTCGAATTCAAAATTAGCCAAAAAAAACCTATAATTCTCAATTTTTTAATTCTTAAAGTTTTACGTTTATTTTCCCATAGTTTTGTTGAGATTTGAACTTTACTGTAGTCGGAGACCTACAGTAGAATTTGATGAAGATTTTTTTTCTTTTCAACATCAAGTTTCTAAATCAAAGATTTGTAGGAGATTTGGGCTCGAACTTAAAAAACCTTTTTTTTTTCATTTTTTTAATTCTTAAAGATTTTTTTGTTTATTTTCTCATAGTTCTCTTAAGATTTGAACTTTATTGTGGTCGGAGACCTATAGTAGAATTTGATAAAGATTTTTTTTCTTTTCAACATCAAGTATCTAAATCAAAGATTTGTAGGAGATTTGGGCTCAAATTCAAAATCAACCAAAAAAAATTTTTCTCAATTTTTTTAATTCTTAAAGTTTCTCGTTTATTTTCCCATAGTTCTGTTAAGATTTGAACTTCAGTGTATTCTGGGACCCATAGTGAAATTTTATAGGGAATATTTGTTTCTTTTACCTCATACTTCTAACATGAAGTTTTAAGGGAGATTTGGAGCCTATTCGAAATATAGCCAGAAAAGAACTCTCTATATAAATATTATTTATTTATATATATAAATATATTAATATGTAATAATTATTATATATGTTTGAATCTATTTCTTTCTGTAATCATCGTTTTTGCACATTTGTACATGTGGTTCATAATATTATTATCATTGACACTATTTTCTATTTATTTAATTAATAAATAAACAATGTAAACATGGCTTTAGTATCTATGTGAATGAATAGAATAAATATAGAGTACAACAACAACAACAATAACTACAACAGATGTATATATAGAAAGAAAAAATCAATGATTTTGTTAAACATTGTTGTCGGACCAAATGGCAACACAGTGACGTAACAAAGAAAGGCTACACATATTTTTCAGATTTTAAAAATGTTTTTTTTTTCATTTTTTTATTGGATTCCATTTTTTTTTTTTTTTTTTTGGTGATCCAAATTTTTGGAGAGCAATTGGTTTTTTTTTATGGAAAGTGGGGAAGTTTGGGAATTTTTGAAAAATATTTTAGGAATTAAAAAAAAACATCCTCTCTCACATTCTTGGTCTAGAAGAAACCCTAAAACTATTCTTTCGAATTTTTATTTTAATTCCATTTTTTTTTTTTTTTGGTCCGCAATTGGATATTTTTTTTTTTATTTTTTTTAATGGAGGAAATTTCGGATTCTTGAAAAATATTTTAGAAATTCAAAAAAAAAAAAAAAATCCTTTCTCACATTCTTGGCCAAAAGAAACCCTAAAACTGTTTTTTTTAATTTTTTATTTTAATTTAATTTTTCGAGATTCACTGAAAAATATCTCAGCCACCCTAATATAATTTCCAAACATTTCAGACTTTTAACTTTGAATTTTCATTCATTTCATTCTGAAATGACTAACTCTTAACCCATAAACCTTAACATCAATTACGCCAAATGACTCAAACACCTTTGACGCTGCTCGAAAACAAAAAAGGCATAACCTCACTTACCTTAGCATTTATTCCGCAAGCTTGTAGGATGACCAAAATTGTGAATAGCTTCCACAACAGTGACATATTCCAAAGGCTTTTCGCTGATTGTTGATTGGCTATGGGTGTACGAACCGACATCGCACCCATAGTCAAATAAACTTAAAAAAGACAGGAACTCAAAAGTGAAAAACCCGGAACAATTTTTTTTTACTGATTAAATTTTTTTTTCGATTGTTTTGTAATCTTTCAATTTTCAATATCCAATTCAAAACACTGTAATTAATAGAAGAGAGAAATATTTTTATTTATATTTTTATTATTATTGGAAAACAAATCAAATATTATTATTTTTTTATTTTTTTTTATTTATTTATTTTTTTGTAATTTTTATATATTTTTTTTGTGGGGTTCACTTTAGAATCTTTGTCATTATTGTTGTTGGTGTTGTTTTTTATTCGTATTCTACAACATATTTATGAGGCACTTCACTCAAGAGTTATATTGTAAATTATTTTTTTTATTTTTGTAATTTCTGTCTAGAGTCAGCAAATTGAATTTGATGCCACGTTCCGTTCAGAGTTGTTGGGAAATAGCGCAAGTTTCAGTTCAAAATTACAAAAAAAAATAAAATGAAAGGAAATGAAAAGGGTTTCCAATTCTTTTTCATGGCCGAAGGGAGGAAATCAAGACGAGATGGATTTTGAGTTTGAAAAAAAAAACATTTTTTTTAAAAATTCAATATTGAAAAAATATTAAATTTTCAGAAAACCAGAACATTTTTGGAAAAATGTATGTTTTTGAAAAAAATATTTTTTCAATATTTTTTTAATTAAGAAAAATATATATAAAATTTTTTTTTTTAAATTTTTACATACTTCCTTAAAATAAATTTTTTGAAAAGTTTTTGAAAAAGCCTGAACAGTTTTTTTTAAATGTGTGGTTTTGAAAAAGATATTTTTTTTTATAAATATTTTACTTTAAATTTTTACTTATTTTTGTTAATATACATGTTTTGAACAGTTTTTGAAAAAAATGTGTGTTTTTTTAAATATTTTTTTCACTATTTTTTTAATTAAAAAAATGTACTAAAAATATATGTTATGAGCTTGAAAAAAAATTAAGTATTTTAAAAATTTAATTTTGAAGAAAAAATATAGAAAACCTGAACAGTTTTTTGAAAAAAAAATGTTTGTTTTTTAAAAAGATATTTTTTCAATGTTTTTTTCAATTTCAAAAATATAAAAAAATATATATTTTTTGAAATTTTTACATATTTTATTTAAAAACAATCAAAATTTTTAAATAAATTCTAAATGTTTTTCAACAAAATTTTAATTTTTTTTTTCCAAATTTTAAAATATTTATTTCAAATTTTAATTAAAAATAAATTATAAATATTTTTCTTCTTTGATTAAACATGTCCGAAAAAAATTAAAATTCTTTTTTTCTATGATTTTGAATATTTTTTAAAGAAAAAATATTATTTTTCTCAAAATTTTGAAATTTTTTTTGAAAATATCTTTAATTTTTTTCAACAAAAATATTTATAGTTGTTGTGTAATAAAATACAAAACTTATTATAGAGATAATTTGATTTTTCTTTTCAAAATTTTGAAAAAAATAATAATTTTAAAAAAATTTTCAAAAAAAAAATTAAATATTGTTTTATTTTTCAAAATTTTGAATTGTTCAAAATATTGATCATTTTTTGAAAGTAGTTTTTAATCAGTTTTGAATAAAACTAATCGCAAAAAGTTGAATACTTCACAAAAAATATAAAGGAAACAAAATAATTTTTTAAAAATTTGTTTTTTTTTTTTTTTTTTTTTTTTTGAAAAAATACAAATATTAGTTTTTAGTTAAACACATCCGCAAAAAATTTTCAAAATTTTTTAGGAAAAAATTTGTATTTGAAATTTTTGATTTTTTTAAATATATGGATATTGGCTTCGTTTTAACACATCTGCAAACATATTGAAATATTTTTTTGAAATTTGGAAAAATTTAAAAGAAAAAGTTAATTTTTTTGGATTTTTTTTCAACAAATATTCAAAATTTAAAAATATATATATTTTTAAAAATTACAGTTTATGCAATTTTTCCCAAAAAAGAGAAACAAAAGGCTTGGTTTTAAAATTTTGGAGTTTTTCAAAATTTACAAAAAATGTAAAAAAAACGTTTTTTTAAAAAATATTTTTATTCAAAATTTTATCCATTTATTATTATTGAAAAACGAAAGATCAGAAAATTTTTATAAATGTCTATTTTTTCCAACAAAAAGAAAAAAATAAAATAAGTTTTAAAGAAAAAAAATGAAAATTTACAAAAAATCCAAATCAGCAGAGGCAACCCTAAAGAAATGATATTTAATTCCTTGCTGTTATTGCTGAACTTTTTTAATGAGACCTTGAGCAAATTCTCAAGAAATTTCGAAGAAAAATATTTATTTAAATTATTAAAGTAAAGGAGAAAATTTTTAAATAATTCAAAATTTTTGGAAAAAATATATATATTTTTTAAATCCTAAAAACAGAAATTATTTCATTTAAAAATCCAATATAAAATTATAACAAAAAAATATTCTCAAATTTTAAAATCATTCAAAATAAAAAGAAGTTAATCATATTTTTAAATATTGAAAATTTTCACCATATGTTCAAATTTAACACACTTCAAAATTATTTTAATTTTATAAATATTAAGTTTGCCTGAGAACGTTTAGTGTTTGAAAAATATTTTGTAAGTTATAATTTGGTAAGTTAAGTATTTATTTTTTTTCTCAAACATTTATGTGAAATCTAAAAAAAAAAATTTTCAATATAATTTAGTTTTAATTTATTTCATAGATATAATAAATAAATATTTATTTATTTATTTATTTTTTTTGCTTAAAAATATATTTTATTTTTAATTTTCCTTTATTTTATATTTTATTTCATTATTTATTATTTCATAATCCATCTCATTTCATTTCCACTTCTTGTTAAAAAAAAAAAAATATTCTCATTGTTAGTTTTCCGTTTTCATTTCATTTTTTTATTGGGGCCACAATTTCCGTTTAGACAGAATCACATAAATATTATCACTGTTTTCCGTTATTGTTTTAAAATAATTTTTTTTATTCAGTAAAATAAAATCCTTTTTTGGAAGCGTATTTCCGTTTTCAATTCATTCTTAGTTTCAATTCAATCCTTTGGCTTGGTTTAAAATTTGTATAATTTTAAAATTTCCAAAACCTTTCCAAAAATTAATTGTAAATCCTTTGGTTAGAAAACAATAAGAACGCGCTATAGTCAACTAACGGATACGTGCGTCCGCAACGTACGACGGCGCGCAACTGAATGATATGTTGAGATTCCTGTCTGGCCCTCAAAGCACATGCACTCACACAATGGATGTTCGCGGTAAGAGATAATTTCTGTTAAACGGTGACGATATTTAACATACGAGCACACTGTCGCACACACACACACAGGCACGAGACCGTTCGTGGTGCTATGATGTTCGTGTTGTCAAGTCTAACGAAGAAAGCTGCAGAGAGCAGCATAAATTAGAACTCTCAACAGGAGACGACAATGTTCTTTTCCAATTCAGGCTTAAAACCCCAACAACAAAACTAATAAAGTAAATCAAAGTTTAATTGCTCTTATTTTTTTTCTCGTCACAAAGAAAAAGAGTTTTAATTTTTAGAACACAATTAATTAAGTTCTTTTTTTTAATTTATTTAAAATTTCAATTAATATTCCTTTCCAGAATACCGCTTCCAACCCACCACGAATAAGTGTTTCTCGGCAACGGTCGCCACAAGACTGATTTGCTGCCTGCAAATCTCAAGTTAAATGAAAAAACTCAATTCAACAGCATATTTTAACACCACACCACAAAAACAATCAAAAGCAAGCGGCCAACAACAGTTTTTTGGGATGTTATCAAGTTAAAGCACACAGGCACTCGCACGGACACACACACACACGCACAACACAAACGAATCAAACGATAACTTTAACGAACCTATGCGCTGACGAAGATGACGACGACGACGACGACTGTGTTATGTTTGCCTTCCAATAGAAAGAAGAAATCTAAAAGCAACAACAACAACAACAGTATATTGTAACATAAAGAGCACCACAACACAACAATGTAAGAGATGGCTGTGCATCTCAAGAAAGTCGACTGACTGTGTTGCCTATGCAAGTGCTGTCGTTGTGTGGGTGGGTGGAGGTGGGTTGCCCCACTGTTACTCAAGAGCACTTTGTTTACATTTTCTTGTAACTCACTCTCGTTCTCATCGTGTGTGAGTGCGTGCATGTATGGGGAAGAGATCTCTGTTTGTTAAATAAATGAATGCCTTACAAAGGGAGAAATAAAGAGTTAGGGAATCAATTGATGGTGGGTTATTTTTTGTTTGTTTTGTTTTCGAAGGAGAATAAAGAGAGTATTGGACTGTAAAGGAAGTAGTTGAAAAGTTAAAGTTAAATTTGAAAATATGATATATATATATATATGGGATGGATTTTATATTTATTTTTTTAACTATTATGAAACTTAAAAACTACAGAATTTATTTATTTTTAAAATAAAATTAAAAATATTTTTTGTATTGTTTTTTTTTTTTTAAGAAAGAAAAATTCAAGTTCAAAAATTTTAAACTAATTTGTTTTTGGAAAATCAGAGGCAAGATTTAACATTTTATTTACATTAAGTTTTGAAGATTATTTATTATAGTTGTATTTTATATATTAATAAATTTTAATTAAAATAATTTTTAACATTTATTTTTAATTATTCAAATAAAAATTTATTACTAGTTTTATTGACTGTTAAAGTCAAAAATATTTTTTTCAATTATAAAAATCTAAAAGATTGGCCATAGTAAGACATAAAGAATATATCACATTAATTAATTAATAATTGATTTATTAACGACTTATTATGTTAATATGTTTTTTATTAAATAAAATATTTTTTTCAAAATAATTTTCAAAAATATATATTTTTATTTATTTAAATTTTATATTTTTTTATACTTTGGTATTTTAAATTAATAAAATTCAAATCAATTCAGTGTGGATTTTTTATTTTTTCTTTAAAAAATATTTTTTTTAAATATAAAATATATTTCGGTCATAAAAAATATACGTTTTTTATATTCAAATCTAAGAACTTATTGAAAACGAATTAAATAAATTAAAAAAAAATATATTGAATTACAATTTCATTAATATTTTTTTAAAAATTTAAAAAAAAATTAATTTTATTTTAAGAATAATACAATAAATAAAATACTTAATTTTTTAGGCTACAAAAAAATCGAATTTTAAAAATCTCCTTATCAATTTGGATTTTCTTATTTTTATTAAACTTCAAACACGTTATTGTGTTGATATGTTTTTTATTTTATAAAAAATTTTTTTTTTTAAAATATATATTTTTATTTATTTAAATTTTATATTTTTTTTTTATTTTTTGGGATTTTAAATTTATAAAATTCAAATCAATTCAATGTGGATTTTTTTATTTTTTCATTAAAAATATATTTTTTTAAATGTAAAATATATTTTGGTTTTAGAAAATATACCTTTTTTAATGTTCAAATCTAGGAACTGAGAAATAAATTAACAAATGAAATTAATTAAAAAAATCTTGAATTATAATTTTATTAATATTTTTAAAATTTAAAAAATATATTATTTTAGTTTTATTTTAAAAATAAAAAAATAAATAAAACTCTTAATTTTGTAGGCTACATAAAAAGTCAAATTTTAAAAATCTCCTTATCAAGCCAGGTACCTATGCATTTTTCCGATATCTCAAGCATATGAAGAGCTACCGTCAAACAATTTATGTTTACCAAAAGCCAGAATTTTCTTCCTTCAAAGTTAACTCTAATTCTTTGTCAATCCATCACTGGAAACTTCGTCTTTTGAACAAGATATTAAAAAGCGCTCGTACGGGTTGTGGACTTCAGAACAGCGATTTTTTTAATTATTCGCATTTTTTCCGGATCCGGTCACACATTCTTGTCTGAAATCATCTAATTTCATTGAGATAACTAGATTAATCTCAGAGTTATCTTCACTACGAAATAATTACCAAAAAACATTAATTTTTTTTGTAAAATTGTGGTACTTGTGTTCATTTGTCGATATCTCTGGTGTTTGATGAGCTATATAAATAAAATTAATAATATATTAAGGGGCTAGATGTTAGTTTTTCAAAATTGTATGAATTTATTTTCATAGGTCAAAAAAATTCAAAATTATACCCCTCGGAAAAATATAACGATTTTTTTTCAAAAATTTTAAATTTACTGCACCTACGTATTTTCCCCATAACTCTGGTGATTTGTGAGTTATGTAAATAAAATAAGTATTTTTAAAAGTCTTAGTGTCCTATTCTATGTAAAAATATAAAATTCATTGACAAGCCCATGAAAAAATATTGACAAGGAGGAGAGACATTTGAGTCACTTTTGAATTGGATGTGTCGTTGAATTACGTTTCTTTAATTTATCTGGATTTTTTGACACTTCTTTGGAATCCACTCATCTTAAATCTTCTTAGTCCTCGAAAAGAAAGACATTGCTTCTTAATCCATTCAATTTTAATGGAAATATTCATTTACTTCCAGAGTTATGGTCTCCAAAATATGATTACTAGAAAATCTCAAAAATTATACAAATTGAGAAACATGTATTTATATGGCGATATCTCCGCTGTTTGATAAGCTATGTTAGTAATGTTGCAATTCTTTTAAAAGCTAGACGTTTCCCTTTCAAAACTGTATTAACTGATTCCTATAGGCCAACTACATCCAAAGTTATGTGCCATGAAAGTACATAGCAGTCATTATTTCCAAATACATGAAAATCTCTGCACTTGCGTATTTTCCCGATATCTCTGGTTATTTGTGAGCTACATCAAAAAAGTTAACATATAAATGAAGCCTTGATATCCCCATTTGAATATGGTAGGAAATTAATTGTCATTCCCTTTAGAAAATGTTCAACAAGGGGTAGAGACATTTGAGTCAATTTTGAATTGGATGTGTGGTTGAATCAGCGTTTCTTTAATTTTGCTGGATTTTTTGGCACTTTTTTGGGACCCACTAATCTTAAATCTTCTTAGACCTCAAAAAGGAAGGCACTGCTTCTTATTTCATTTAATTTTAAGGGAATTATTCATTTACTTCCAGAGTTATGGTCTTCAAAATATGTTTACTAGAAAATCTCAAAAATTATACAAATTGAGAAACATGTATTTATATGCCGATATCTCCGGTGTTTGATAAGCTATGTTAGTAAAGTTGAAATCGTTTTAAAGCCTAGATGTTTCCCTTTCAAAATTGTATTAAATGATTCGTATAGGCCAATCACATAAAAAGTTATGTCGCATGAAAACTCATAACAAGATTTTTTTCCAAAGACTTGAAAATCTCCGCACTTGCGTATTTTCCCGATATCTCTAGAGATTTTTGAGCTACATCAAAAAAGTTAACATATATATTAAGCCTTGATATCCTTATTTGAATATGGTAGGAAATTAATTGTCATTCCCTTTAGAAATTATTCGACGAGGAGCAGGGACATTCCTTTGACTTTTGAATTGGATGTGTGGTTGAATCAGCGTTTCTTTAATTTATCTGGATTTTTTGGCACTTCTTTGGGACCCAATAATCTCAAATCTTCTTAGGCCTCAAAAAGAAAGGCACTGCTTCTTATTTTATTCAATTTTAAGGGTATTATTCATTTACTTCCAGAGTTATGGACTCCAAAATAGGTTTACTAGAAAATCTTTAAAATCATTCCTAATCGAGGTACATGTGTTTTTGCAGCCATATCTCTGGTGTTTGATGAGCTATATAAAGAAAATTGGTATACGAATAAAGGTCAGATGGTCTTCTTTTAACATTATTTTAACTTCTTTTTGATACGCTCATTAATTTAAAAGTTATGTGCCTAGGAACATCATAAAAATATTTTTTTGAAATTTATTAAATTTTCTGCACCTGCAAATTTGGCCGATATCTCTGGTGTTTGATGAGCTATGTAAATAAAATGGGCATCAACATATAGGCTAGCTGATGCTGTTCCAATATCTGCCAACAAATTTTGTTTAAAAGTTACGAGCAATCTGTTAGCCTTGAGGAAATATGGATCGGAATTAGCAATCCCCTAATCTATGGCATATTTTTTTGTTTATTGCGAAACAGCTCCATCTAGATTTGAAGGAAGTGAGATTTTTAATAAATATTTTAACTTAACTCCCTCTAGATCTCAATGAAGCACTATTTCATATCCAGATGGCACAGTTGTTATTTCAACATTAGGAAATAAGACTGGGTTATCGGTAAAACTTGAATACATGACCATGACTCAATGTATTTAGAAATATTTCCCTCTAGATTTCGTAGAGCGATATCTTGCATATAGATGGCGCCTCTGAAAATACATTTCCTCTCCCATTATGGGAAAGCTTTAAACAAATTTAAATCCATTCCCTTCTTAGAGTTTAGGATAGCCAAACCAATGAAAAGCCACCAAAATCTCTATGTCGATAATAGAAAATTGCTTCTAAATGC